CAAAAGTATATGTAAAATATAAATACTTTCAATGTAAAGCGTTACACACAAATTAAATATAAATTAAGTATATATTTCAATAATTTAAGAATAAACACATTTTGTTGATACTTAAGACTAAATTTAATAATCAACACTACATAAAAAGATCAAACATACTTTGTGAGTGCATGCACTAGAATGAAACGCATATTACAATAAAAAGATGATTGCGCTTGCGCGGCTATCTATCGACTTTCCCTATGAATGTTTTTCCATAGAATAAAAACATCTATTAAATTTCTCTCAATTAAATCGATCCTTTAATCATGTTTTTCTTATAAAAAAGTGATGAATTCTAAGTACTTTAATCTCGTGACATTATTGCATTTCGCTTTGCATATTAAGCAATTGAAGTTACAATTTACAAAAACAGAAAAATAGAAACAATTGCAACCAACTGTTAGATTAATAGAATCAGAAAAAGAGAAGGTAATTCCAAATTTTACACGGTTAAATGTACTTCAGTGTTTACAAAGATGATTTTCATTGAGAAACACTTCAGGTTGAATAGATTTCTGTTGCTCACGATAGGTATATGGCCTCACCAGAGATCGAAACGTGCTCAAATTCAATTTATTGTACTTTTTACTATTTTAACAACTTTTATTGTATTTCAGGTGGTAATAAGTCATTTTACATGCGAAACAATATAATTAACAGACTAGAATTTGAAACTTATAAATCACACTAAGAAATTATTCATTTAATATGAAATTTTAAACAGAATCACTTATTTACAGTTTACAACGTTTATAACTTCAAAATGCACTGCAGATCTCATTATGAATGTTCTGTCTTCCGCATTTTTCTTTATTTGCTATGCGATTAAATATCATTCGTTTTGGATTAATGCCAATACTGTAAGTCAAATATTTATTATAGTTTCCAGATAAATATTCGTGATAAATAAATCTTCAAATTTGAGATTTTTTAAATATTTTATACGAAAACTGCAATATTATTGATGTAATAGATTAGAGTTTCACTAGATCAACTTCAGCATGTTTGTAACGAAATAAAAAATAAAAACGAAATTGCTATCATAGAAAAATATGGCCGTATAGGAAAACATCAAACGAGAATAATTACGAGTAAGATAATATATATATGTGCTTTCATTTTAATGAAGTATTAATAAAAATAAAAACATTTATATAACTTAAATAAATTTTACTTAAATAAATTCTTGTTTCTTATACATATGTATATCATTCACTTTCTAATTTAATGTTAGTTTTTGCCGCATGTTGCATATCTATTTATCTCTTCCTGCCAATGGGGCTTCATATATCTGATGTAATTCTGGTAATAAACAATTCCCGATCACGCTCTGCAGCGATTCATATTGCAACAGAATATTTTGTTGATCAAGAAAAATTTTCCTACTTAATTCTTTTGCATACAAACGCAGCCTTGTGCATAGGGGCAATTGCAATGACAGCAACAGGCACGATGCTGATAGCATACCTCAAACATATTTGTGGAATGTTTAGCATTGCAAGGTAGAATTCAATATAATCATTTGTTTTATAAGTGAAATCTATTCTTTGTTTATTTTCAATCAGATCTAAAAAAAATTAAGAACTTACAGTAAAAAATATGTATTCATATAGTTTCCGTATTAAGAAGGCAATGGCTTCGTCTGTTTAATAGCGGCTAGTATGGTTTGCATAACCAGCAGTCTTGTTCAAGTAAGTTTGATTTTATGTTATTAAACGTATTATTTCATGAAATATACAGTTTTTATAATATTAAGATTAAATAAAGAATCTTAAATTAGAGTAGTATAGAAAATAATTTTCTTTAAAAATAAAATCATTCAAGAAATCATCATTATTTTTCGTTTAACTTTTTTTATAATTATAAATTATATATACATTATTATATATATATACATTATTCGCATATGTATGTTATAAAAATGATACAGTTTTACAATATGCGAAATCCAAAAGAAATTAATTAATTATTTTATAATGCAAGCTGTATAATTTTTCTTAAGGAATAGATTACAGAAAAATTATAATTTCTTGCTTGTAAAAAGTTAAAATACACATATATAACATATGTATCATATTTTTTAGATCATATCATATAATAACACAGAGCAACTTGTATTTGAACTTTTAAAGATAAGTGTTCTCTATATATACATGTTTTTGTCTAATTATATCGCACAAGATATTACAGATCACAATGAATACGTATTTGCTACAGTGTAAGAGACATTTGCATCATACGTTCATACTTAAGAAATTGTTTTACAATATTCTTGTAACAAAATGCTGAGTTAACATAAGTATTCGAAAATAATACTATCCTTGAACGAATATACTATAATAAATATTTTTAGTTTTTCATATTATGTTTTCATGTTATGTTTATTAAATTATTATTGATTTGTAGATATGATGTTGAATGGTATGTCGCTCCATTACACATACAAAAAATGATGTTATTTCTACTGCAAAAAGGTACAAAGGCTTTTCGTTTGATTCTCGGTGGAATATTCATTGCGTCTATGGAAAGTGCTGCTACGGTAAGAGATATATACAAACATTTTCTTGCTCGCGAATATTAATATTTAATCAAAAATAGTAACATTCACAGTTATTCAATATTTTGACAATACTTTAGAATTATTTAGATAATCAACTAAGGTAGCTCTATTAAAATAAGTTGAAAATAAAATTTAAATTAGCTGAGTTACAAGAATAGAATAAAGAAAAGCGAAAACTGTTAAATTGATACTATATATTGATTTGATGTGTTGCACTCTAGAATATTATACAATAAATCAACTTTCGTTATTTGAAAATATATTGATGGATTAATCCAAAAAAATGAATAATTTAAAAATGTAGGGGGAAGTCGCCTTTATCACATCCTTTAAGGTTTAAACAAAATTGTAACAAAAGCATCGAAGGGATCACAACATTTGTGTAACTACATTAAACTCTGATTCATTGAAAATAAAATGATAACTTTTACGAAAATAAGTATTAAATTCTTGTTCCAATCATAAATTTAAGAAAATATAATTTCGATATGATTTGGAGACCGGATCATTAAATTGTACCAATAGGTTTCTAAATGATATCGCGCGCCCGAGGAAGAAGAGAATGGACGGAACCCTCCGCAATCGTTAATACATATATATATATACGAAAGATTTCTGCTTTCTTCCCCCTCGTAAAGGCAAAGTGAATTTTTTTTAAATTAAATCTTGCTTTGCGTGCAAACTTAAAAACCTATGTAGAACTGCGCTTCGTGTGAAAAGTTGTAAACCCCTGAACAATGAAAAAGAAATTTTAATATTAATAAACAAACGGTAATATATCGCTGTAAGAGTCAGAAAACCGTATGCACATGTAGTGTAGAGGATGTTGAACATGAAGATGTACTCCGCAGCTGTGACAGATTTCTTAATTTCGATATAGTCGTTAACATAAACACTTAAGATCTCATTTCGCAAGGCAGTCCCGCACTTTTTTCTGTCAGATTCTTTTATTTTATGTAAAAACGAGTCAAATGTGCTAATTTCATCGAAATCGGAAATGCGATAATTCTCCTGGATAATTACCAATATCAGTTTATATATTAAAACCTTATTCATCTCAGTCCTTATATTCTTCAGAGTCTTTTTGCGTTATAGGTCTTTTAATTCTTCACGACCGATGCTAATCAAACGTAACCTCATAATGCGTAGCTGCGAGGAGATAATGAGAGCTCGCGTCGCTTGTGAAAATCGTACCGGTACAATATAAAGACCAGTGACAATTTATCCGACTCACTCTATTTTTACAAATTTGCAATAGCAACAAAACTAACAAATATTTGGTTAATTTTATGAGATACTCGAATAGAATTTAAATATCTATTATCACCTATAGTACACTAAGATTCATTCATCACCTTGTACTGATAGCATTTTAAGCAAAAATTGTAAAAACTTAAATCAGACATCAAACAAAATAGTTTTGAATATTACTCGCAAACAGACGGCACAAAGACAAAATAAAAATGGCAGTTATTAAACCATGTGACTAACGTTACATCATCGTTATTACTCTTAACAAAAAATGTTTAGAAAATACAATGGAGATACAACTAATCAATGATACGGCTTATCCAACTCCACCCTATATTGTCAATCTATTATTTTAACAGACATTCTCTACATAGCTTCAATATAGCTTCTTACATATTAAAACAAAAAAAGTTATTTTCATTACAGTTGATGGGTACTTCAATATCTTACTTCACTGTTCTCTATTCTACAAGTACGAAATAATAATTGTAAAATAACTGAGACAGGTATGTATAAAAGTAGAAAAGATATGAGAAAGTAAGAGAGAGAGAAATGGAAAACAAGAAAAATGTAATTTGACTAAAATTGTTTAGCTTTCAATTTTAGGTGTCACTTGCTGTAAGTAAAGTTTCAATTCGAAAAAAAGGTAAAAATTTATATTTAAACAAAAAATTACATACATATTATAAAGTATTTATATAAAAAAATACGGAATTTAAAATTGACATCATATTAACAAGTTACAACATTGAAATGTATGTGTTAGGAAGGATTGTGCCGCGCACCTGCGAAGTCTATTATCGCACGATTCCCTTGAATAAAATATGTATTTCTTTATGGAAAATAAATATCTCTTGCAATATTGCTGTAATAATCAAATCGATCGCTTAACCATACACCTTTTCCAGAAAAGTGAATCACTATCATGTGTTTTTTTATCCGACAATAATATTTCCTCTACATTATATTTAAATTACGAGGGTAGGTTGAAAAGTAATGCCTCCGATGCTTTAAAAAAAAAGGAGGTAGGAGAAACCGGTATAGTTCGTTGCGTCTCGTTGTGACATCTGTCTAGAATCAGTATGTCAAGTTCCATGTTGGTACGAGCACGCGTTCATATTTTATTATCATGGAAACGAAAAGCAGTATGGAGGTTAGGTTAAAGCAACGCGCAGTTATCGAGTTCCTCGTCGCAGAAGGATGCGAACCTAAAGAGATTCATGCTCGTTTAAAAAATGTTTACGGTGACGAAACGATTGATATTAGCAATGTTCGAAGATGGGTTGTGAATGCGAAAAAAGTTAATAGTGGTTCGCTTAAAATTTCTGATTTATCGAGGTCTGGTCGTCCGAAAACTGCGGTGACAGATGGCAATGTCCAAAAGATTGACGACTTGGTTCATGAAAACCGAAGGATTACGCAGCATAAAATTGCTCGTATCGTGGGTATTTCTAAAGAAAGAGTGAATCATATTATCAGTAATGAGCTCAAGTATCGAAAGATTTTCGCAAGATGGGTCCCAAGGATGCTCACAGACGAAATGAAGAAGAAGA